TTATTCTTCCAAATAAAGCTTTCGCTTTTCGTGCATCGCACGGCGCGTTACTAAATATTGCGTCTAATAAAAGCCCAGACCAGCATCACATATACATTGCCTGGCAAACAAGTCGCTCCTTAAATTGCTTCAGTTTGTAAACATACTTTTCATTGTTTTCTTACGACGCTCTAATTGCAACATTGAATAGTGAATCTGAGAGAAGCAGGGCTCCAAACGTTTGCATAGTGTTATATGTATGGATGGTATGGCAAGTAGTAAGAAGCACAGTTGCAATATGAAATTAAATGTTCTAATAATCAGAGCGAAACTTTCTTTTATTGGATGGAATAATTTCTACAATAACTGTTTAGGAATGATCACAACTAGTTCCAGATATGCTTGTTCTTACCGTTGAGCACTTCTTTCTCTGCATAGTTTACCATATTACAAGATAATTTAATCATAATCTTATCCTATAATTCAAATATACACAGCTTCGATACTTCCTGAACCTTATCGCGTGTCGGAGGATTTGAAATGGTCAAACGCAGCTTACTTAAGACTCTTATATCAACGTCGTGTTATATCAACATTTCTTTGTACTGCATAAACCCAACTGCCGTTTCTTATCCGAGGAAGAATCAAATTTTCATAACTAAACTGCGTGTGGGAAGGTTCAACTAACGTTGTTTATTAAGCTTTCGTGAATTATAATATAGCTTTATAATATTATTTCGCACAGAAGGATGGATATCATCACCGTAAATGTTGTCGATTTTGTATGACTAATTTTACTATGTTGATTTATTATGGCCTGAAAACAAGTTATTAAAAAATGACTGCAGAATGTTTTCGGTTATTTGCTGCGTGTTGAGGTGACCGAGAAACTTCTCGCAATTACAGTCGTTCAATGTTATGGGAATTCAGAGTTTCCTCGTTCAATACGTATTAATTGACCCTCGGAGTCTGAAGTTCATTCTATCTAAACAAAATTCAACTGATGGAACGCTCATGACGAAATTTGCGAAGTGAAAGTTGTTCGTGTGGTACAATATGAAATGCGTATAAAGCTCTGTAGTTCTTAACTATCATGGCTGCCTCATTTGCCCTTGTATACGTGTGTTCGCTCGCTGGTTATGAGGAGTATTGAAAGTGTTATGAGGTTTCCTTTGACGTAGGTAATCTCTAATGTTTGAATTGTTTTTAATTTGCTTTTTTTACTATTTCTAAGCGATTCATGTAATGATAGTCTCATTATTTGAGTTTTCCTATCCGATACCTCGATTCAACATGGGATTTTACTGATTTAAGGTGCGAAGTCCTGTTCTTTCCTAGAATTATCTTCGTATCTCGTGGATGACTGTACTCATTTGACAAGTTTGCTTGCATTTTAGTGTCACGCTCTGACCAAGCAAAGACCTCCCTAATTTGGCCCTAAAGGAAGCTTTTAACGACTGACTGCAGCGTTACGGAGCCCTAAAAATAAACCTCATGCAGCCCATAATGAGAAGCCTAGATACATTGTCCTCTTACTGACTTCCTGCCTGTCATGCGCCGAACATAATGCGTCTTGAATTGCAGTATTTATTTGCCACGCCATACGCAGTTATATGCGTGAGTGCTTCGTTTGCCACAGAGATAAGTTCAACTAAGTTGGCGTCACATAATTACTGTACGGTAGATCTGTTCGAGAAAAATCTATTTCGACATACTTATTGAAGTTTACTTATTAAATTCCACTTTTAAAAGCAATGCTTACTATCTCATGTGATTTCAGCTTTCACTCTAAATGCGAAAGCTGGAATACTGAACAGAATATGTCCATATATATGTTTCGTTGAGCTTTATCTCACTTTTCTGTTGAAATCATGTCTATTCTCGACTTGTTGCGTCAGAATATGCTTGTGGGACCACGCAAAAGTGTTAGTTATATAAGCTATTATCTTGCTAAACTTTTTTGTCGTTTACAGAATCGAGCGGATGTCTTGCATCTGAGTGAGCAGTTACAAAGGATGCTACTGAGCGGTGCATTGACGATGTCATTTTTCAATAAGCCTTGATTTTCTCTTTGGTGTTACATTGGCGGAAAAGAATTGACTTGCAGCAAATTGGGGGATTCTTAAGATGAAACTCTATGCGCATAATTATCAAAATATATTTCTCTCTGTTACTACTTTATTAGAAAAGTAATGATTATATCCTATTGTCAACCCTGAGTTATCAGTGCGATAGATTTTCCGTGGGGATTTTCTGAGAATCTGCTCTATTAATGCAGTAGTTTGAGAACCGAGTCAGCTAGATCCGCAGCGGCTGATGACAATCATAGCGGCTGATGTCTGGTTTAAGGTTGGTGGGTTTAGTCTGGAAAGCCCTCTGTGGTTGACGGAGTTACGACCTCGTAAATATAATTTCGATATTACGGACCCAGTTGCACATGTAACAAGAAACACATCTTCGTTGCAGAAATTGTTTAGGAGGCTTGCTAACTTTGCCGCGTACTATACGAATTGGTTTTGAACTCATGAGCTTTATTCGAAGAAGCTATATACGCTCCTGTTAATTGAGCTCAAAATTTCCTTGCGTTTAGGGAGGATGAAAGGAACACCAAGAAAATTTTTTCTGCACGTTTTTCAATTTACAGGAACTTGTCAGTTCATTCTTACATGTCTCAACTAACAAATAATGGAAAATATTAATTGATCCTCTTAATCAGAGGGCAGAAATAACAATATAACTAAAGCCAAAGAGCAAAGGAGATCCTAGGTCCTGCACCTCACGCCCTAAAGTACTGACTATCGAGGACCATAGCCTCGAAGAGGCTAATTGTCGCGGTCTGAGCTTCGACGTGACGCTGAGAAGAATATGTGTGGAATAAAAGTTCCTCATGTTCGGTCTCAGGTCCATTAAAGCCCCTCTTGCGTTATGCCTTTGAAGCGAACTGCGTATTAAGACGCTCAACTGCTGCGGCGTCAATACGAAATCACGTTAAGAGGAGTCGATTGTGAGTTGAATTTGCTCCCGCAACTCAGCCTATTGTGTTCAGCAGCTAGCAGCCCGGCTGTAGAGAGGTTGCTGTCCGAAAATTTCTTTTAACTCGTAATTCAGCTCAAAATAGTTATCCCGTAGTTTGCCTAATGGAGTCTGAACACATTTCTTTCACTCACACCCGCGAGTTCTTCCGATCCAAGTCATTAATTAATCCGATCAATTAATTACATATGTGGCCCAGGGGTTAAAGTTCAGAGTACCAAGATTGGAGCAGAGGCGCGGGTTCGATCCCAGCTCTGTGCGCCAGTTTCTGATCAGAATCAGCGAGGAGGCCGGGCGGTTAAGCCCGGCCTCCTTGAATAGAAAATTTGAAGCAGCGAGTTGCGAGTTCAAGCCCGCAAAATGCAGTGGATGTTCTGCAATGTTAAGAATCGAATATTACATTGTTCTGCAATGTCAATAATATTATATTACAAACCTACCATACTCAGTTTCTTCATACCGCTACTTATTCTATGCCAATTTTCTATACTCAACTCGAAATTAGTATAGCACGATAAACTTTTTTATACTATGAAAATACGATCCAAACTGGTACCTATTAGGCATATCATGATATAAAAAAATTTTAATCACTGAAGTACATTTCCGTCGTTTGAATGCAAGCTCAAAATACCATAAATAAATCCTAGTTAATATTCACGTAAAATAGAGCTAACATTGGCCCATGTCTGCATCATATTTTGACACCGACCTCGATCACTACTGTTATAGCCAGAGGGCCTATTTCTATTCGAATGCCAATAGCAAAAAAAGCATCATCTTCGTTCTGCTATTTCATTTATTTATAGTAAAAGTTACCAAATTAATCTCGATAAACAATACTATATAAGGGAACATTCTTCTGTCACTCAAAAGTTATAAATTTATAATTACTATTTGAAAGAATAGTGATGAATGCTATCCGCGAAGAGAAATATTTTGCGTAATCTCAGAAAGGCTACTTCGATAGCACATTACCAAAGGGTCGTAGAATATTTCAAATGAGTTTTTTTTTCAAATAAGGCAGCGTGTTCAAATAATTTATTGCGGCGAACGTAAATCGTGAGTTTTGGTGTCATAGTAGTACTTGACGAGAACACAGTTTACAGTGAAAAAATGTCAATATTACCGAAGAGAATAACATGTTTAAGCTCACACTTCATTTTAAACCATGCATGTTCTAGTGCGTTTGTTACTTTGATCAATGGAGCGAATGTGACCTTGTTCTCCTGAGGAAATTCAATTTTTAGAACGAACGAAATTTTCTGACGATATATTATTTCATTATAATTTTATCATGTCAGTCAAGTAGCATTGTAAATTGCCGCCCCACCACGAGCTGTGTGCTGCGCCCCACCACCCAGATACACACGTGTGTATCTTGGATACTCAACGGCGCTTCTGTGGAGAGCCATAAAGCGACGCCGAAAGATGGTTAGAATCGTGGGTAGGATCTGATGAGCCCTACGCAAAAGGCTGGTTAGATCTTATCCGCTGATGAGCTCCATCAAGATGATATGCTTGTGACCGTTGCTATACATGCCGTAGAATTCAGGAACACATCTTGAAACTTGAGCAGCTTCCAGCATTTTTGCTTCTTTTCTCATTTAAACTTCATCATTTATCACTTTTGCGCACACCAACCTCACGATAGAAAGCCCATATGAACTTTGACCTGGAGACCACACACAGTGCTTGTAATATTCGTAGGCAATTATAGTCAGTCGCGAGTCTCGGATAGACTTCACGCTACTCCGACATTCGGTTGCTCGTGTCGTTATTATCCGTCCTATCAATCATGTATGCATTCCGTGTTTAACTCGATATTAATATGAATTCGTGGTTTACCTACCTGCTATCATCCTTTATTTACGATTGGAGGTAGAGAAGACACAAGCCACCCTTTATTACCAATTGGAAAAATTGAGACTTGTGTGAGAGAGTGTCAGAGTTATTTCCCGATCCCACAAGATATTTTAAATGTGCAGTGGCATCTCGCTGCGGCGGGACGATGGCGGCAGCGGTCACGGAAGCGAAGCCTCGACAGCTGCAGGTGGCCAGGTTGCTCCAGGTGAGCTTGATTCACTTTCCATCGATTTATAGTCAGAGTTGTCTCTTCATGTTAACTGTAAATTTTTCTTTGTATAAAAGAGCAGAGTGACGTTAGAAATGAGTATCGGGTCTGACGAAGTTATATATATTTATATATTTTACTCTATCATGGTCACACAAACTTTGTGGCTAGTTTATCAAAATACAATTGATGTAACCATTATTGTAGTAATAATAAAATTAATACTCTACTAGCCATTGAAATCCATAGTGATAAATAAACAAAGTCATCCGAGCCAGATAATGTGTTTTCAAACATTGTCCAACAATCCAACAATATTCTTTAGTTGTTAATTAGGTAGGACTCTTGAATTGTAACAGTCGCGTTTCATTTCTTCGTTGCGGTCGATTCAAATGTTCCATTTGGTGTATGGATTGGCGCTTATGTAGTTTATTGAACTCTGTGGCAAGTTTTATCAATAACCCTGCCAAATCGGGAAACTAAACTTATCGACACAGTTCTATTTATTTTGTCATCTCCATCAATTGTTTGCATCCAACTGGCGTTGGATGCAAGTTTCATTATCTGTCGTACTAAATAGTTACATGCTAATATAATTTTATCAGTATTTTAGCCATATTTCTGAAATTTATCTGATCTATTCAAGTTTTATTGTGTTAAATGATGAATGTTGTTTTATAGTGATGGGATTGATTTATAATTCTTCGATTGCATGCGCTTTAAACACATCGCAAAATAGAAGAGAAAAACATACGTAGCGTCGGCTGCACGCCTTTTATAAATCATTCGCTAGAGGGTATTGATTTTTAAGGATGTCCTAGAGTACTATAATCATATCATCTTGACGGAAAAATGCAAATCTATTCAAGTTTACATACAGTGGGGGGAAATAAATATTCGTACACTTGAAAAATCGTATTTTAATGTATGTAAGTACACAAACTTAACAGGAAAAGTGATTTAAATTATGTATAGAGACGCATAGTATTCAAAAATACTATCAAAAGAAATTAAAATTGCATTAATTTTTGTTGCATTGAGATTTAATTTCTATTGATGCTATTTTTGAATACAATGCGCCTCTATACATACTATAAATCACTTCTCCTGTTCAGTTTGTGTACTTACATACATTAAAATACGATTTTTCAAGTGTACGAATATTTATTTCCCCCCACTGTATATGCCGAAAATAGTATCATATTGCGGTGTCTCTCCTGGTGACACGCGTGCAAAGAATCATTTATTTTTGCTAGCGTGCCCATATCTCTGATTGAGTTCTGATGAATCTTTTGCCGGTTATTAGGAGGAAGAAGAGAGCTGGATTAGCTCCGAGGAGCTGTACACGGACGGCAGCAGTGACGAGGAGTTAGCTAAAGGAAGCAGCGGTCGTTCCATTCACTCATCAATCCCACACCAATCATCGACGTCGCCCAGACTCGTCTTGGGGATGAGAAATGCACGTCGACCTTTTCCTTCTCCTGGCCCTCCTGCAACTGCGTCGGAACCTGCCGTGCAGGTTTGTTGAATTTTTTTGTGTTGGTACAAATTATCGTTCATCTCTCAACGGACAATCCATCTGTCAGAAATACAGTGAAGAGTGCCATTCTGAGCCAAGTTACTAAGCACTTAATGCCGAAATTGTTGTAATTGAGCAGCTGAAATATCTGGAAGTTTGAATAAATGTAATGATTTATGTTTCACTTCACCGTAGTTCTTCGCAGTTTAATTTTTCTCTCCGTTTTATGGTCTATTGGCATTCGAAGAAAATCTAGAACTCTAAAGCCAAGTGGCTGAGCTCTGTGATAATGCAAGTTGTTACTGAAGGTTCCATGGTCCACAGGACGCACCTCACTTGACGGAGACCACGCGCCGCCTCTCCATGCTGGGCCTTCATCAAGAAGCACCGCGCCACCCCGCCGCCGCCGCCGGGGCTGACCGCTGCTACAAGGATAGACAAGATAAAGAGGTCTTGTTCTCTTCCTGCCTCGCAGCTTAACCCTAAGTTGCTCAGGATGAATAATCAATGAAATTTTAGTAATCAGGCATCCGGATTTGGCTGAAAAGAAATTTTATTAATCAATCATCCGAATTTGGTTGGAATTTTTCAACCCAAAGTTATGTTAGTGACAGATACGTTCACAGGAACATATAGTAAAGAAGTCACATTGAACTCCCGTTCAAAAATTTGTAGGAAATGAATTTTAAATTTAGGAATAGAATAGTATTACTTTAATCCAATGTTCTTCTACTTCGTTTTGCAATGCTCTACGTCTCACCCATGTAATAGTGAAATTTCACCTGCTGATAGTACCCCAGACACGATAGACATCGTAGATACGAGCTCATATAGTCACTGTACATTTCCAGAGCCAGGCTTCAACACACTCTAACTCTGAATATTAATAGATATATCGTAAGTAGAGTGAAAGTTCCGCGTTTGACTAACCTTCAAATTATCCAACTTCATTCTTTAATAATAACGAAATGTCTTTATTAAACAATATTTTTGGGTTGTAGGTTTCATATTATAAATCGCAGAGAGTGTCATCTAATCATTATTATTAATTGCAGTATACTGCGCCATTAATGAATATACATCGGCAATCCCACATTAATATAAAAATATTAATGTTGACTTATCGATGAGCAGATGGAGGAGCAAGAAGACATAATGTTGTGGCGGCCCAAGCGAGGCTCGTTGAAGCTCCCCCACATCGACCTCTCCGGCCTGCAGTCATCAGCTCGCCTGACCTGCGATGTCGCCATCGCTGAGGACGGATGCGGGAATGAAGCCGAATCTTGCGCATGTGAAACGAGTGTCCTGTTGGAACAACCCGCGACGACGGACGAACAGAATTGTGACTACAAAACCACATGTGATTCCCCCGATGATAAAGAGGAAACGTGCAACACCGAAACTGGCAAGACGCGCGCTACTGAGCGAGAAGAAACGAAGGAGAGCATCGCTAAGACTTCCACCACTCCTACTGCTATTGAAGGCCGAATGAGCGATGATGGAGGAACTTAAGAATGTGATCATTCTTCGGAAATTTGATAGGTTTTAACATTTATAAAAGCCAATTAGTTAATTTTGTAAGTTTTCTTTTCTTTGAGCTATACATATAGATGGTTGGTTGACTTTCATCCGCATTTTAAATCAAAACTCGAGCTCGGTTTATACTTTATACTGATGCCTTCACATCGCTTACGAATCACCATTTCTTCACTTATTTAAATTTAAATTCCTTTGTTTTTCTGATGAAATTCCTCTCCTGAAGATCTATTTTTACAGTGCAAAAGTCTGCGCGATTGCGTTTTGAATGGCGTTATGAACGTGCTCATCATGCTCGCTGAATTTATTTCCTAACAATAATCTCACAAATTTTAAACGCAAGTGACCAGCTTTCTTGATGGTTCAGTTGGCCGCATTATAATTGAACTTTTGGCGCTTATCTTTCTGTACCATTTATGCTTCAGTTGTTCTATTTTGCAACTCATCTATATGAGCCTAAATCTTATACGAAAAATTAGAAGCCTCTGTAATAGACGACTCTTACATATCTATGCAGTAATTGCTGGAAACTTGTGTAGCCTCTCTGATAGTATGTGCGGTGATCTTACATTGTTTTGACGAACGCCAATGTGGATGGATGAAGAATAACAATGCGCACTTTCCAAGTATCGACTTTCCGTATCGGTGCTACGTACTTTCCGTTCGTTACGGGTTCAAATTCATCCTTCCTCTAGACAACTCCTTGCCACCGGTGAAGTGCACAGCGCATTGGCCCAAACAATCATTTACTGTAGCAATCATCGTTGGGAGTAATTAGCTCGCTGAAATGCATAATGCTGTCGAATTTCCCTCTCGATCAATGAATTGTTTGTTTTCACTCCTTGCGTTCAAATTTAGGGCCAGAATGTATAATGTAATTTTTGACATTTCTCTCCTTTTTTGAGTGTTTCTTGAATTATGAATTATAAGTTGATGCCTGTTATTCGCGGTAATGTTCACTCGTCGTGTGCAAGCGATCAATCAAGTAAACAGTAGCCCTAAATGGTCCATAACCTCCTCCTATTAGTGCTCGAGGTCAGAGTAACCTATCCGGCCATTTGCCCATAGTATCATTCTTGATACTGTGGGCCTACCACGATCCGGAATCGACAACAGATTTCAGACAAGGTTACAACCACGACACCATACATGTCACGTCTCGCAATTGCTTGTCCGGCAAGTAATAGCATCTCGCTAACTAATTTCAGTGGCTTGATAATATCGCATCAAAGTACATTTTAAAAGTTATACTTTTGTAGTTACATAAATAGCGTCACTATATGCCCGGTAGATAGCTCTAGTAAAGATGCCGTATAAATTCATGAATGTGACTCTCTTTCAGTATTTGAAACTAAGAAGTTCGCATATCAATATGACAATCATATTCTCTTCACAAACGATAATGATTTGGTGTTCATGTACGTGATTGCATCCCTGAGGCTTGAGTTGAATTGAAGCTAATTCTAAAGTTTCTGGCGACTAATGCATCACTCAAGATGATGCATGCAGTATGCTGAGGATGATCAGTTATTCCGTAAATTGATGGAGTAGTGCAATAAGCACTTCACCACAGCATTCCAAGTCTTTACCTCGGAATCATTCTTTATTTAGACTCGCAATTGGCTCATTTGTGACCCTCTTTCCCGTACTCCATATTAATGTGTTTTAAATAAATCATGCTTTTTAATCAAAAGTTTTATTCACGATGTGAGCCAATCACTCAACCAAGATGAATTTTTTTCGCACACAATCGTTTCTGCCATAAAATCATCAAGACAACGGGAAGCCAATGGTACATTTAATGGTTTTAGATGAATTAAATATGTTACGACTTTTAACAACCGCTGAGTAGTTGACTTTTTTGTAACTCTTACAAGATTTTGCCAACGGGACAATAAATTTTGTTATTTCTATGTGCCATTAACTTCTCCGTATCATTTATATCATATACGTTAGAACAAACCGCTCAAATAACGAGTAGAAAATTCGGTCGCGTTTAGACGAGTGACATGTATTTGTTTTATACACGGATAAAATAAAACCTACATCTACCTGTCCTGTACAAAGTCTCGACTGTACAAAAGGACAAATCAATCCCTCGAAATTAATTTTGCCATGATGAGAAGTGGACCTGACAAAATAAAGCAGTAACATTGAGGCATTACTGGCATTTATTCGGACATATTGCCACTTCATTACTACCCCGGTCCAAATCATTAACAAAGAAATATCAATACTTTGAGGTGATAATCTTACAACGAAAATCACCAAACGAAACCTAAGAAAATTGCCTACGTATTCGGAAAAAAAGCATGAAGCAAGGAAGGACCTACAAAGAGCCAAGTTTTTTTCAACAGAAATACTGGTCACAATAGAGCAATAGATCACAGCTCAATTAATAGACCAAAAGTGCTTAACAAATAGAATATAAGGGCAGGCAATGAATATTCTTTGAGAGCTAATCAAATTAGCAATCAAAATCACTGATAGAAGAGAACCGTGCGACTATAGAAACACTAAACATTAAAATGACTACCGTGATTTCTTATCGAAATAATCCATATAAATAATCTAAAAATAAATAGAGAACTAAGTTTGATCTGTCAAATTAAACAAGAAGCAAAGTAAACCGAGACGACCTCATAGAAAAACAAGGATCTAAGAACACCTTAATTTCCATAATTCGTGCACTTGCTTATTTGATACCACACTGCAGCAACTGAACCTTACTTAACATATGCACAACACTGATTGTATTTCTTTACAACATTTCGCAAGCCAAACAATTTCATTTGTAGTACTAGTGGCAAAAAAACGATTAAAGCTTCATAATTCAGTCGATTCATATTACATCATATCAGATATAATTAAACTATCTCCATCTAATATACATAGCATACATATTGCAATGTTATTGCAAAAAATGCAGTCTTCGCTTTGAATAATCACTTTCAACAAGAATATGGAATTATTAGCAAGCCCTCTGCACTGATCAGTAAATAAACACGGTCAGTGATCGGCAATGCTAATAACCAAAATAAAAATTATATTTTCTATTAAAAACTTTGAGAATTTCAAGTTCTCGTGATTGACGCCCAAACGAAATAGCTGTCGCTACATAGATTCGAACATTCCAATGGTATTTTTGTATTAAAATGAAAATTTTACCCACTTCTTTTGCAATAAGTTATGACTTAACAATAATCCTGACGTCTAGAAATGTATGTACACTACGACGACCTTTGTAATACTATCTCTATCATCGAAATACTGTACACACATCAAATAATGTACACAAAGCGCTCTAGGTAGAAAAGAATACAAGGCCGACTCGACAGACGAGCCCACACCCCATGCTGATGAAAAAAAATGCAACATATTATAAATTGAACATTTTTACATGGAATGCAAACTAGGAAGGCAATAGGTGCGAATGAAATAATTCGTAAATCAAAATACACCTATGAATTTTTAACTCGACGGACCTCTAAATACGCACCCTCTTACACATCAATCGCAGGAGTGGACGAAATTCACCGATGCTTAGGCCAGTAAATGCCGCGCACTCTAATAAAACGACTTCCAGGAAACTCCACCTGGGATTAAACTGCAGGGAAAAATCCATTGTGTGATGGCGAATAACGCGTCGGTGCAACACCGTTCAGAATTACGTAAGAGCTAATGAAGCCTAATATTCAAGACGCATATTCATTACATGTATCAGAAGTGGGAGTGAGCTGGCCTCATTTGATGGGGCGATGTTTACTTGGCACTGCGGAGACGAGGAGGAACAGCATCTACAACAAGGGGCTTTTTCCTCGGCGACGCTCGTCTATCAAGCTCCTGCAGAGTAGAGCCCAAGACTTGATCGGTCCTGGCTGAGCGCATGCGTTTCCTAGATATGTGATCGTCGAAGCCCAAGGCACTGTCGTTGTCCTCGGAAGTCGGCACGGTCGGAGTGAGGCGTTTCCTCTTAATTTTGGGCCAGCCGGTGAGGTTTTTTCTTCTTTTCTTAATGTGTGACTTGCCCAGACTTGAACCATCCATATTTTCAGAATCAACAATGGAGAGACACTCAGAACTTGCTTCCGTGATATCGTCAACGCTGGAGACATCGTCGTAACACTGGTTCTGAGGAACGCTTACACATTTGCACATACTAGCGTTTGTACAAATATCGACACTACTGTGATCTAAAGTACCAGATAACGAGCACAAATCACCGTCCGTTGCTCGTTCTCGCATCTCAACCAGAAAGTACGGATCAACTTCAAGAGCTAGAGGATCATTCTCGAGTTTCAACTCTTTTAAAAATTCAATTGGATCGGTTGCGGGCGTCTTCAATTTAATATCCGATTTTTCAGTTTTGATTACTCTACTACAATTGCTCATAATACTGCTACTGGAACAAAGTCTTTTTCTCTTCTTCCGTCTTGAAACATCTTTCTTCGTATCAGGCTCTTCATCATCAGTAGTTTCTTCTTTTGCCTTATCTTTCAAGTCGCGTTTGACCTTTCTGTTCCCTTCTCGTAGCTCCTTTTTTATATCAGGCTCATTCTTTATTTCACTCTCATCCTTCAGCGAAATTTTGTCCATGCCTAAAATCGCTTCACGGGAGAGGTCGTCCTTCAGTTCTTCCATTGATGGTAACTCTTTGTTCTGTTGGGCAGCACGTAAAAACACGTTCATACAATGCTCGATGGCTATAAAATCATCAAGAGTTTCAAAGTGTTCTGTAAGTGGAATTTGCGAGTTAGAGTCTCCCCCAGGTGTGCTGGTGCCATCGGACGTGCCTTGGTCCTCTTCCTTCAAACCATTATGACTCTTTGGACGTTTGCTCTTATTCTTTTTTCCCGGCAGAATATCACTGAAAAGTGCCAAGGTAGAAGCATGGCATCGAGGACTCTTACGGGCCAACTCTGCTAAATCAGCTCGCTTTTTATTTGCCAAGTTTCTTCTTGCGAGGTGATCTCTAAAGTATTCTCGGGGCATTTCATAAGGCAACACGAAGCGAAGAGCTTCTTCCTCTTTATGATATTCATTGGAATTGTCGCCATCTATTTGACGCTTGTAAGTTTTATACCAGGGCTCTGCTACAGGAATATGTTCAAATGAAAAAACTATTTTATCGATTGCTGATGTACACAAGGGTACAACATTTTGGACGGGACCTCCATCAGAGAAAGAAGTTTCTTCTTCTTCCTCTTTATCCTGTGAATGATTGACAAGGTTATCATTGGGTAACTTATCATTTGATTCATCATTGGAGTCATGGTGTTCATCCTCTTGTACTTCATCATCGCTGCATTTTGACCGGCATCGATTTCTCGTAACTCGGCCTGGAATAATTCGTCTCGCGTTGGACTTGCTCGACAATAGATTGTTCGTAGTTTTCACACTCTCATCGCTTGGAGAAGGTCTCCCTCGTTTAGTCTTTTTGGTGTTCTCTTGTCTGCTGTCTGAAGGTTCCTCTTCAATAGGGTGTGGCGTACTGACATCCTCAGAACGCGTTCTTTCTCCATCACTTCGATCATGGCTTCTTCTAAGTCGTTCTCTGGTCTCAGGAAACTGGTAATATTCCCTATTGTCTCGCAAAAAACGTTCCGCATCTGAAAGCCTCTTCTTTGAAATTCCGCTTGAATTTTGAAGATCCGAAGTACTCAGCCTTGCTGTGTTGGAGCGAGATGCGCGACGATCGCGCGAAAGCACCGACACTGGACTTTGACCAAGACCAGAATTAACAGGAAAAGAGAAAAAATTGTCATCATCAGTATCTTCATTGAGTCGAGTCAGATCATAAATAGTACGTCGATTCCTGCTGCCTTTTGGGCGACCCTTGGGTCGACTCATAGGCGCCGTTGTTTCAGATTGACACTGTTGCCTTGGGTGACATTGCAACACATCAGGGGTAGAGTTTGTATCCCTGGAGTGAGTTGTCGACTCCACTGGCTTAATGCATTCATTTTTACTTTCCTTTTTGGTATCGTTGGTATTTTTATTAATTTTTTTAAGAGATTCATCATTAGATATAGATTTCCCAACACCTTTACGACAAGACTTTTTTCTTTCAGGTACAAAAAAATTGCTATCAGAATCTTCTGACGAATTTTGATCGATGGAATTTTTCGAAGGAAGCCGTGACTCAAGCCGACGTGATTTAAGTGGTTTACGGTCCTCGTCTTCATCATCTTCATCCTCATTTTCGGAGCTGGAATCTGGACGATTTTTATTTTTCAAAATTTCTTCTTTTTCGTTTATAATTTTTTCTGTCTCTGATATCAAACACCAATCGGCATTCTTCTTGCGTCGCATAGATTTTTTTCTCTCGAATTTATCTCTATCGGCGACAGAAATTTCCAGCAATAAGTTTATATCTACTTTATCACTTGTATTATCTAATCCATTATTCTTGGATATGGTGCTGCTACAGTCGGAGTCATCGCTTGCTAAAGCAGAACGGTGACTGCGATGCTTATTGTTAGAAGGCCCACGCAATGGAACTGATCCATTTACTAACCGCAGGCGCACACTCTCCTGTCCATTACAGGTTATTCCAGTATTTTCATGATGACTGATGGAGTCGATATTGCCACACGAGTCATTCGCACCCTTGCTGGCGTTTCGGGTGGCCATTTTTTCAAATAAATGGACTCCCAAGCCATTACTGCCCAGGTTGTGAGTTGCCCTGACATGGCCAGTAGATCTGCCATTGCGTACGGTGGGGTGACCATCTTCAATACCGCCACAGCTCTCTTCAGACTCAGAAAAATAACATTCTGAACGACAATTTTTACGCAAATTTGAAAGCTTGGTATATTGTTGGTGCTTTTCACAATCAAGATAGGCGTCGGAGCTGCAAAGGCGTCGTGATGATCGATTGCCTCGTCGTCTGCAAAAGGAGTCAAAAGCATCCGAATGATCCTGAATAATCCGGACCATCTCTTGTGGTGGAGTTCCACTGCCTGACAACGGCGTGGGCGTCTTCACTGACTTGCTATCATCGACAAAAACTTTGTCAGTAGTGCAACTTACAGCAGCTGTAAGCGATGATGAGTGATGCCTAGTTTTAGTAGCACAATGTGATGAGCTAACTACGGTGGTAGCCCCAGAATGCGAGAAAGTCGTGGCAACAGACACAGTAGGTGAACTGCTGACAGCAACAACAGGGATGACAGAAGACTGGCGATGAAGTTTGGACGCACAAGCTAATTTATTTTCGTTATTGAAGTCAACGCAGTCACTGCTCAAGCTGCGGGTCGTGCGACGACTAGGACTGTGGCTAGTAGTAGACAAAGGAGTTGTACTTACTACAGAAATGCACGGTGTAGGTACTGATTTTCTTCGGAGGTTTCGACCAGACCTTAGGTCAGTGTTGAGTTCATCATTGCATGGAAGAGATCTACCTGATGAAGTTGATGAATCGTTAACTCTATTTATATCTTCGTTTAATGCATACCTTTCACTTGTTTCAGAAGCAATAGAACATTCAGATTGTTTTAAAGATAAAGATGTAATACTCGTATCATCTAGCGGATCAGTTTTCTTGCTTGTAGCTTGGCCTGACTTAGAAATGGAAGAACGAGTTTTACATACAACGGCTTTAGAACGATTAGTACAGGAGGAAGTGTTGACTTTGGTAACTCTATTGGCTTTCTCAGACGTGCTGGGACTATTACTTACCGAACACTTAGAGCTTTTAGGCTCGATAGGCTCGGAATTTTTAGAGGAACAAAGACCGATTTCAGAATCTCTATTAGCAATTAAAGATTCTTCCTCATCAATAGTGTCGAGTTTTTCGGTCACTGTTGCGTTGTTCAGAGTACGACTACGTAGAGCTCTTCCACAAACACCAGCAAGTGCTGTTGTTTCCCGGTGGCTGCCCTCGCAGGGATCAGCAGGAGGTAACGGTGAATGGCTCGGGGTGCCTAGAGGCGATGTGCTGGGAGTGACTGAGGGCGACGTGCGGGAAGATCGTCGAATGCTTGTGCAACACTTGACAGTTTGACCAGCAACTTTGGCAAGAACTGCGGTATTGCAACCCTTGGTATCAGTTTTTGTACAAAAACTCGTAGATTCAGAACTATTGGTTAAATGTATTGGCTTCGATTCAACTCTTGGAGATTCTACTTTGGCTCCAAGATTTACCAATGGCTGGACAGGAGCAATTATTTTACTAGGAGTTAAATCAAGATCCGTGGCGTTATTAGTGGCGGTCTCGACAGTATTTGCTCCAGTAGATACTTCTTCTCCCAAGTTCGAAGACTCGTCGTTGGTGGAGGTCACGCCCAAGTTCTCAATAACCACACCATTATCACCTTCATTCACATCGTTCTGTGGGGAATGATAAGAGGAGTTGGAGTCGCTGGAAGAAACGGTTAATATCGATGCAGTTTCTTCTGCTTTTATTAATAGCGGATCGTCCTCAGCTAAAGCAATAATCGACTCTGGCGATTTGGACTCAGTTTCCGTGTTGAAGATAGAGTTCTCATGAAAAAGAGACACACCTCGGTCGTCCTTCAAAATTTCGTTTGTTTCTTCCAGGGAACTTGAGGAACTACAAACTAAGTGATTATTTTCAAGATGCAATTCGTTCTCTGTATGAATTGTACTGCTAAGATCGGGGGCAGAGCTCTCAACTTCCGAGTCAACTTGTTTTTTGTTAGTTACATCGTCACGTTTCAAAGAACTGTCACAAGTTGTTTTTTCATCAGATTTCTCACTTACGGTGCTTGCATTGACTTCAATAATGCATTTTTCTGATGAATCAGTCTCCGTATCATTGATCAACTCGCGATCATCCGATATGCCAACCAGAGGTGAACTCTGTGCATCAAGGGTCGAGCTGATACATGATTCATGAGAACTCGGGAGAAGAATTTGTGGAGTAGGCGAAACTTCAGACAGGCGCTGCACGCGAGATTTAGGACCAGCTTTACAACCGGAAACTATTCCACGTGATTTATCTCTTCCAAGAATCAAGTCGCTAACCTTTCCGTTCAGTGTACAAGCCACACCCTTTGAGTTATTATTATCAGCTGGAGAACTCACGCCACAAGATCTCAAATCAGACGAACCTATTGATTCATTAGATACCGAATGTGATGGGCTGACATTATTAGCATAGTTTGATGCAACTGAACTTGCTTTTGAAAATTCCTTAGAATAGGGACCTCCATGTATTGTCAGTAACGACGTTTTCCTATTGCTGCACGTAAGGTTCAATTCACGTAACGAAGCTTCAAATGAACGACCAGGATCGGTGGAGTGAGGCGAAGGTAAACTATTCACTACTGTGTCTGTGGCTTCCTGGGCAGTCACGATTCCGTTGATTGTAGTCCTTTCAGATGATGAAGAAGATGAGGAAGTGAGAGGAAAAGCGGGAGTGAAATTGGCGGCCCCGTTAGAAGAACATGAAACAGGAAGAAGTGGAGCGTCAGGAGCAGAACTGGTGAAGTATTTCGAGTGAGAACTTTTGCCGTTGGTGAGATGGTCGAGCGGAGCGTGGTGTTTGTGGTGCGTGGCCGGATCAAAGCTGCACTGAGGGTGATGATGTGCCGTGTCACTGGAGGGGCTGGGAGGAGCAGCAGCTCTCTTGGCTACATCGTCCGGCCGCGCACCACAACAAAGACCAGTGGCTGGTCCGCTGTACACAGTCTCCCCTAACTGCACACAGACAGGCAACTTTAGAACAAATCCTAAGCGTTCCGTCATTCAACTCTAGCTAACTAACTTAACTCTTTCGGTCAGAAGCGGAGTTGCATCACATCCCTAAATTTGTTGTCGCTACTATCTACATTTCCTTTTCGTTTTAGTTTGCTTATCACCACTTTAGCGTCCTATTGATGATTAGCAATTAACGTACTTTTTTTCCCTACGCTAAGCATTAGATTGCATTTGCATGAATACTCAGAAAGAACAATTCTATTTCGCTTAATAAGCGTGATTCTACATAGTCAAGACGTGAACAGAGGTGCCTTTAATTAAGCTGCCATAAAGTTCCATTTTGTGGGAATGTGTACCTGAATAGAACTCAAGCTTATGAGCAGGGAATGGTACAATTAGACATCTTGATTAAATTCCTTAACCGGAGTAATTATAATGTATATGTTTATAATAGACTACTTTTCAAATTAAAAACTGCTCATTGCCTAGGTACTCTATAACCAAAATTTATTATGAACTCACCTTAAATACAGTGAAAGGCTTGCCGATCTTAGTGGAGTTTGTGATGATATTGTAGGCGCGGACGTGAGAGCCTTCTGAGGCCGAAGGTGGAACTGTAATACTGCTGGTGCCGGCAGAATGATGGTGTGTGTTATGATGCTGGTGCTGCTGTGCTGTGCTTAAGCTATTGGTGCCGTCCTTATTCTTGTTGGTGTGCACTGGGACGTTGGTGGTACTAATGATGCTGGTGTACCTCATCGGGGTGTTGGTGCTGCGACGCAACAACAACCCTGGAAAAAGTTATATAGGTATATCATATGCCTCATAAACCTAATTACCAGACAGCAAGCTTTTCCTTACAAGCCCATGCTGATGAAGTACCAAAATCTTATAAAACCAGATTTGACTTTCAGAAATATATAAAGAGCTACAGTTTACAAAATAATAGACTTTAATGGGAGAAAAAATTCTACCTGCATCAGCACTTTTTTCAATCCATGTAAGGTGTGGCAGCATTTGATCCATAATCCATAGCAAGATACCGATATTTATCAGTAAACATGATTTATTCCAAAATAGTTAAACAATACGGGATTAAAGCTAACCAACTGTGGTTGCTGCAAGTGCGTTGGAGAGCTAGGAGGCGTGGATGTGAAGAATACGAACTCAAGCGCCTGTAGGAGCTTACAAGCCTCTTCTCACGACCAAACCTTGCTACAAGCTTTTTGTTTTCACGATGTTAACGGATTGTTGGAGGCCTGACTGCAGTTCAGACACCTGGCTGATCAGTTGGTCAAGCTCGCCATAATTGGACGCGTCGGTAACAAAACTCTGGTGGGAATTGGAGAGCAGATGCGTCCGCAGGCTTGTGTAGTGCAAGCGGCAGAGTTCGCAGTAACCGCCGCTGTTACGTCGTGTGCGAGATACACCGCCTCTGTTGTAGGAAAATATTATATTTTACTATTGGTGTTTTACGCAGTAGGCATACGGTACATGGAAATAATATCATCTATTGTGTCTAAACAAACCATTCTATTGCAAAATAATTCAAATTAAAAATTTACATTTTTCGAATCAAACTGCCAAACGCAGATTGTCCAAATTTGAAATTACTAGCAATTTTTCAGTCAATTCGTTTTTCCCGTACAATGGGCAGTAGTTAATATAATATAATAAAGCAACACTTGCAGCACCTGACAGCTTGAGGGGTGCTGCAATGCTCGGCGCGATTGAAGACCCGGTTGGGAGTAGCAAAACTTTCTCCGTTGTCCTCCTCCTGACGGAGACCAGCGGGTGATTTCAGAGGGCGGGAGTTCACTGAATATACACAGTTATTTCCTTTGGCCTGCGGTGTTTTGTTCTTACCGGAGACGGGGAAGAGGGGAGGCAAGCCTTCAGCAAATGGGCACGTCGATCGAGAACTATCAATAGTTAAAGCGGGCCAGTTGGATATTTCTTTGAATAGAGGTCTGTACTTCCTGTTGGATGCAACAAAAATGAATAAATCCCAAGCTGGGCGCGTTACAATAACATACTACACATATTATAGCACTTTCCGTTGTCCTGTAAATCTAATTATTATCGATGGATAAGACGAATGACAAGTGCTCCAATTCTTCACTTACTTAGCAAAGTCTTCAAGCTTGATGAAAGGCTTTTTATTATTTGCCTCTCCCGAGTGCTGACCGCGCGAAGCAGAAGACTTAATGGATCTGGGAGTGTTTCTTTCGGCAGGTCGTGACAAAATAGTACGTTCCTTGATCACTGATGAAGGTGAAGGATGCAGAACAGCAGCTGTGGATGAATGTTTCTGCGTCTGCGGTGAAGTGCGAGGCTTGTACCGAGGGTCGCTTGCCAACTCACTGATATAACTCTGTAGCTTTGCTAATGTCCAGACCTGCGCAAAAGATGTGCGAACATTATATTACATCTTCAAAATTATTGTAGAATAGAGTAACACCTTACTACCATGGTGTAGGATAGACAAGGAACTGCTAAAGCGTGTATTTACTTTTTACTTACATAGATGAGAGCATCTAATCATCTTTGTAACTCTGTCACAAGAAGGAATGAAACAATGAAAGAGAACATAATGGAGAAATAACGTAGCATATGAGGTTGTCGTCGACGTACCTGCACACCCCAACGCTTGGCATTGCTGATGACGTCACTGGGGCCTGGCTTGCGGAAACGAGCCCTCACCAGGAGAGCTGCTGCACGGCTTGTCTGAGGACATTGAGAAATACTTCAGTTCTTTTATCCTCCAGCATGGCTGTTTTTTTATATGATTATGTAGGCGAACAATGGAAATCAAAACTGTGAAGGATGAATGATGCTCAAATTATAGGTAGGTACCGTATCTATAAATCTACACTATATATATATATATATACATACGTTTGGTTTGAATCAGTTTATTTCAAATGAAAAGTGACTTGGTTACATTCATGAACAAAATATTGAAATGTATGCCTTGCATTAGCAAATTTTTTCAGAGGATGTTTTTAACATTCCAATTAAATATAATAAATAATCAATGCATCCCACCCATCAATTTGTAAAAGTTCATAGCTGGAATTACCCTACAGCGGCAATTCCAAATAGTGACTAAGTACATTTTAATCTTCTACTTCTTCCTGACTTAGTAAATTTTAGAATTGCAATACACTTTAATAAGCTAATAGAATTTATTTTGAATACAGCCATTTGGGCTTATCCAATTGAAATTGTGAGTAAATTGGCTGGTCAGCTGGTACTCTGGAATTTTGCTGTTTTTAATTGATTGAATTTGTAGTCTAGCATTTTCAAACTGAAGATAGAGCTGGGCTTCAAAATGTTTTTTACAATGAAAGATCAATTTTTTGTGGCATCATATTTGTCTTAAAATTTCTATATACCTAATCCACTACTAAAGCAATCAAATGATCTTGCTGCTTTGTTCAGGGAGTCACCAATTTGAGAAAATTCAAAACAAAGGTTCCTTGGATAATCTCACCACTCGTCGTGTTTGATCAGATGGAGTAGGTGGATGATGAGGACTGTGTGAAGTAGAGGTGGGTGTTGGGGGTAGTGGCGAGATGATAGGAGCTGAACTATCAGGGCTGCCTCCTTGATACGGAGAGAGGGAACTTGGTGAGGGAACAAACACTGCAGGGAGGGTTGAAGGAGAGAGAGTGTCGCCAGTTGATGGAGACACTGAAGGTCCTGATGAAGTTACTGATTTTGTGGGTACAATCATGTACTGGACTTCTTTACTGAGGAACTCTTCCACCTCCTGAAATCAGTGTGCAAGATAAGTGCCTATGCCATTGATTAAATACTTATATATAGGAAAGGTGATGAAAAATTTTTCATCATGAAGAGTATAAACATTTATATATAGTTTTTTAGTTAGGTAGTTTGGCAGAAGTTCTTCTTTAATGCACGTTTCATTAAAGACCAGAAAAAATGTCTTATCAATCATTTTCCTATTGTTTTTCTCAATTCAGCAAATTAGGCTTATGGTAGGATTTAAAAATTAGAATACAGGGTTTGCAAGGGACATTTTATCATAATCTTATGATGTTTGAATCCGTATTGTTTCATAATACATAAAAGTTGAAAGTTTTGCAACAGTTGAAATCTAGACTTTGGAATGACATGTACTAACATTGGGTAATATTGATACAACTTAACCCATCAATGCTGAGCGGTTCCATTTGGAACCAGTGGAAAAAATGGATTCATATTAAAATTGAATGGTCAAATAAATATATAAGTGTATTCGTAGGTTTGATATACCGGTACATCTTGTACACGTTCTAGCAACGTTTGGTTCTGCTGCGCAAACTACTCCCTGTTCAGGTGACATTCAAAGATTATAAGAACCAGGTGTCAGGCACGACGGTTTGATATCATAGCGGAGAAAGATGAGTAATTCATTCTAAAAATATATTATTTATGAGTCAGATGCAGAATTTTATCGATAAAGTGGGTAATTTTAAGGCTGTATATGATTTTATGTGTTATAATGTTTCTCAAGTCATTTAGATCGTGAAATATTTAGCCCGGTTCCTAATGGGACCAAGCTATAATTTTTCACATACAACAAAAAATGATATATTTGAAAATATTTTTTATTTATTACTGTCACAAGTGATAATAGTATCACAGGAAACCAAAGAAAATTTCAGAAAATAATTCTCGGCATTAATGGGTAGGTACCTACAAATTACAACTCAAAATTAAATGAAAATAATTTCAATATAATTTGGTGCAAACATCTTGTGCTATGCAAGTGATGGTCTCATGAGCCGGCCTCATGTGGTTGAGCTGGCCCATGAGAGCCGATCTCTCAGGTTGAGCTGGCCTCTCATGAGCTGGTTCATTTTCAAATACTACTAAAAGCCTTATTTATTGAGTTAGGAAAAAGTTAGATAAGAAATTTTTAATAAGAAATACTTGCAGGTTTTCAACATAACATGCATTACAACTCAGATTGTATAGGAAGATAAATTTCTGATCCCTGATATTTGGAGAAATTTATCAATGATGAAAACAACAATTAATTTAATAAAAGTCAATCAATAACAAAATAATTGAAAATATTCTTTTTGTCATGCAGACCAGGATTGATTGTACACTAAACATAAGATCAGGTCAAATATGTCAACATTTTGACATTAAGCGCACAGAATTAAAAAAAAATCTACATTTTTGCCTAAGAACATTTCAGTGATGATAAAGTAATAATTTAGATGCAAATAAATGTCACTTACTCCACCAAGATGTTTAATATCAGCAGTGATGTCAGCAAGATTCTTGTATCCAGTCAAGTGAAGGTAGAACTTCAACGATGCTAAGGGCTGGTAGGCAGGAAACTGATGATTGTTGCAATGAAAACCTGTAGAAGAAACCTGTGATAATTCATGAACAATCTAAACTTAGCCTTTAATATAACACTCAAAAATTGTTAACAAATTCATTTCGGATATAATCCATGTGTGGGCAAGCATATAAACTTGCAGAAATTGAAATTTGTAGATGGCAGAATTTGCTTGTTTATACATGAGCCATTAATGACCAAAGAATTCATTGAATTGAATTATAAGATAGTTGAACAATTCTTTAGAGGATGTTGGTAGATTGCAAGGCATGTTTCAGGAAGTAGTTTTAGTTTATTAATGACATTTTGAATGAAACAATCATTCATGTTCCAAGTTACAAGAAGCATTGAATATTGAAATTATGATGTAAATAAGTACATAATATATGTAATTAGGATAAAACAGAAAGAATTTGAACCAGAAAAATTACTCTGAAAATTCTCTCAAAGTTCAGACAAATCTTGTAGGTAGTTACAAGATAGACAGCATCCAATCCATAAAGATGAGGGGTTTATTGAATTGAAATAACAATAAGACACTACATTCATACATATTTATTACCAAAAATTGTAATGTATTGAAGGATAAAAATGGTTGAACAACTTATTAAATGTGGTTACTATGCTAAAATTTGTTTGTATGTTTGCATTCAAACAAAAAAATGTAAAGATTAACTTCTTAACTTAAATCTAATTCAATATTGTCAAGTTACCTCACACATAATAAGTTAATAAATATAGCTACTTCTGCCTTTAAAAATGTTAAAATAGCATAGTTTTTATTTGTATTTATCACTGTTTTGATCCTCATTGTAGAAATGCTTTGCAAATGCAATGACCTGGTGCACAATTCTATCTGTGACATTCTATGCACAATTTTGTGATGACGACTATGCATTAATATTTTGTTAAGTGAACATTTTTTGCTGCAATAGGTAAATTTAATCAAAATTATTTGTCATTAATTGATTTCTTTGTTGACCTGAGTCTTTGCTAACCAAGGTTCTACTGTAAATGCATTTTTCAGGGTGTCCCCTATTACCCTGGAGTATGTCTTGTAGTACCTCAATACCTCATCTTGTGGAAATGGCTACCATTTGTCTTTTGATTGAGGTACTGTAGCAAGATGACTAGCTACATTCAAACATCAAGGGTCTCTGCCCATGGGCCCTAACATACAAGGTTGAGGAATAACAACATTCAAGATTTGTAGAGGGACACATTATGAATTTACATAAACATTTGCTTGCAAGAGGCTTAAACGGTATAGCTACTTCTGCCTTTAAAAATGCTAAAATAGCTTAGTTTTTATTTGTATTCATCACTGTTTTGATCCTCATTTTAGAAATGCTTTGCAAACGCAATGACCTGGTGCACAATTCAATCAGTGACATTCTATGCACAATTTTGTGATGACGACTATGCATTAATTTTTTGTTAAGCGAAATTTTTTTGCTGCGATAGGTGAATTTAATCAAAATTATTTGTTATTAATTGATTTATTTGTTGACCTGAGTCTTTGCTAACCAAGGTTCTACTGTAAATGCATTTTTCAGGGTGTCCCCTATTACCCTGGAGTAGGTATAGTCAGATGGGGTAAGACAGGACCAAAATCACTAACAAGCCTGTAGCATCTATACCATGAATAAATAAAAAAACCTAAACCTAACACAAGGTGTAGTTATGCAATAGCTTCTAAGCTACAACTCAGACGTTTTGCATCTAACATAGTTTTCTGTACAGATTAAAAAAAGTGAGCTGGTCCCATCTTACCCCATTGGGCTAAGATGGGACCAGGCTGGGGTTAGACAGGACCAAATGTCAATTCCTATGTTACAAGGTTTTTAATAAAAGTACAAATCTGCTATTCAATATTATCCATCTAGAAACACATTCTTTGATTAAACAACCACTTGTTACTGTTTTGTGTTGCAGGAAGTCAACTCTAATATCAGTCACATTGTAGTTTTTGTCATGAGAAAACTTTGTTAAGCATAGTAGTAATAGTGGGTTGGCTTTGGTTCATTGTAGAGCACTGCTAAATGCTTCATGTATATTCCATTAGTGTCATTGTCTGAAAAATTTATCAAATTGGTAATAAAACCAATAGATAATAACTTGAGTGTCAGATGGAGATGTGTATAAGAGACAGTGCTTATATTCCTCCCTTGTTAAGATCGGTGGCAGATTAGGGTTAATCGTCGAATCAATTTGGAGTCGTCCTTTACTTGAACCTTACAAT